TCAGATAAATGTCCATCTTCACATAACCTTACATCACCTTACGAGTGACCATAATTTGTAATAGTAAAATAAACAATATAAATCAAACAGTTAATATAAACATATCTAAGTACACATTGATCTTATTTTAGTTAAAAGTGATTATATTACTTATTATTATAAATTCAAATAATTAAAAAGTATAGTATGTAAATAAGCTTAGTTATATACTACTTAAAAGTTTGCTAGTCTAAATATAATTTGTCAATTCACTTGGTGTTGTTTACTTATATCTTTCCATTGTTATTTAGGACTTCAATTGATCAGTCTCTTATTAGCATATGTTCATCCTGTGCGGACTACCTCAATATGGTGTGAAGTCACAATCTTTATAAAGAAAGATGGATTCCACTGTTATAATTTGTCATTGTTTGTTTCCTTAATGTTTCATTGTTATGGATTATTTACAGTACTACTAATATATGATCTAGTTTGTACCATATTTTTCACTGATTTTTGTATCGGTTCATTGAGATATTCAGATGGAAATGGTTCTTTATATTTAAGACTTAACTTTACACACAAAAAAGATTTCAGATGTACTGCATCACTTTTATAGTTTGGGAAATCATTATGGTTGAATTTGGTAAATATTTTAGAAGAATGAACTGAGTGTATACTCATTCTGTAAGTCTTCTTCATGAGAGTAATCACTCAAATAAATAAAGGTATGGTTAACTTTAGTTAGTACTATTCAAAGAGCAAAATTACGTAGAATAATGACCATTATGGTAAACTTAACAAAATATATCTTCGTGGATTGGTTGAAGTGAGACATTAACATCTTTGGATACCGATCGATTCAGTGGTTTAGAGGTCGAGTTCACTCGTAAGACCGAAAGTCCTGGGTTTGGATCCCGTGTACGGGATCATGGAGGTGCACTGCTGAATAGTGTCATACTAAGACGAAACGGTCGTCCAGAGCTTCCAGGTTTTCCATGGTGATCTAGTCTTAATCGATTCATGGGTTTAACTATAAAAGAATATGTCATGTTTAACTTAATAAAGACCTATATTTCATGAACGAGATAATGTGTTTATATATCTGGCATTTTATTGTTTGAAGGGTAATATATTGAACGTCTATCACTTTGGTGAAAAATTCAATTTCGTGAAACATAGATACATATTTTAACCAATTTATATTTATCAGTGAGGGGTTGTGGAGATTATTGAGTTTATAATATCTTGAATGGATTAGTGTAAAACCACCATTCCGTTCTAGTATGGATCTCCTCATTAGTGCCCATCCATGATCCCGTACACGGGATCCAAACCCAGGACTTTCGGTCTTACGAGTGAACTCAACCTCTAAACCACTGAGCCGATCCACCATCACTACTATTGTAATAATTATGATTATTGAAAAATACGTATATATTAACAGTTGTATAGCTTTGAAAATGAATTCGCCAAAAAGAGAACTTTTCATGAACTAATACTTCTTAATTACACTTCTAGTTATAAATAAATCAAAATAAAACTTTTCCTAGTTAAGATCATAAGTCAATTGAAGCTAGACCACCAAGGAAAACCTTGAAGCACTGGACGGCCGTTTCGTCGTGGGACTCATCAGCAGTGCGCATCCACGATCCCGCCTCGTGGGATTCGAACCCAAGACCTGTAGTGCCGCGATTCGTTAACCGTTTACTTCGATAACCGTTATAATTCTAAACTTAACGGTGCGTAAAATCAGAAGACAAAGGATAGCAGCAATTACAGTTTATTGTCGAATGACTCAGGTTCGAAAGCTAACAACACCTGAGTGAATATGAACGAGCGAGTGAGCGAGTGAACAGGCGAACAAGCGAAGGAAACGAACGAGGAGCAAACGAGCGAATAGCAAGCAATTACATAGGCAATTTATAGTCAAATTTATTGAGGACATAGCAAAGCAAAACAAAGGCTGATAATAATATTTGTGTGCGTACATATATGGGGAGGATTATGAGTCATCGAATGATATTTAAGCAGTCAACATTTCGGCTAGAGTGTCATGTGCTCTAGTGGTATAGCAGTGCAAAGAATATGCAAATTGTTACTATCCAAATGACAATGTCTGTTAAGTAAGTTATAAAAAAGGGCTTAACCAAAATTGTCTATAATCGAAATTGATTATAGGATGGTTGCTATAGTCCTACCAGTCTCGAGCCAGAGCACTTAACCGATAGATTGTGGATGTGCAGTGCTGAGTAGAACCACAATAGGACGGAATGGCCGTTTAGTACTTCCAGGTTTTCCATGGTGGTCCAGCTTCAATTGATTAATGATCTTAACTAAATAAAATTACTAAAATCCCCACTTAACCCCCTTGTGATAAAACTTTACCGTTGATTAATACATGTAACATTCATTTATTATGTAATCAGTTATTCATTAAGATGTAATGTATATTTGATTCATTACCTAATTATAAATTAATTCTACATAATGAACTTATATTCTCAAAAGTTCATCTACAGATTCTTTGAATTTTAGTAAACTATGAAAATAGTTAAACTAAATATGAATAACAAATGAATAGTAAAGTAGTTCATTTATACTGCCTTAAAATATGTTTTATTTATTTATTTGAATATATAAACATTGGCTCAATGGGTCACCAAATATATATGTGTCATACAATAATAATAATAGGAAGAGTTCAGTTAGTAGAAATACAAGCAGAAGGAATACTTCAAGTGAAAGAAGTCACGTTGACTTTTATGAAGTAAGACAAAGTTACAAGAGGATCGTCACTGGCTTCTATTCTGAGCCATGACTTATAACGTCTGGGACCACTGTTTTGGAACATCTATAGAACGCTAACCAGGGAGTTGTGAAGGACTAACAGAAGCCAGTCCCGTACAACTTTCTTTCATACCACGACACCGTGTCATGCACTAACCACTTCTACGCTTTTTCTAACCTGTCCCGATGTCGGTAAATAAAGCACGACGTGAAATTCTCTGGGACTATATTTGTAGATATGTCCCAGCCACCGAAGTCGGTTTTTCAATATGATGACACCAGCTGAATTATCTTCACTGTACTCGAACACAAGATGTCGAACCTCTGCATTAATAACATGACTTGCCACTGGATGTCAGCAATCCTTCTGAGACAATGATGATCATATACAGAGAGCGGTCTAACATCCTCAAGTCAGAGAGGCCAGGTCTCGCGAGCATAAAGTAAAACTGCTCTAACTGACACGTCTTAGATCCGACCTTTTACAGCCAAACTAACATCACGAAAGCGCCAAAGATGGCCCAAATTGGCATAAGCCGCTTTGACTTTCGCTACAAGTGAATCTGTCTCATCACTTAGGCGGCTACCCAGGTACACGAACTTCCCGATTACTTTATCCTCCCACTACCCAGGGTGAGTGCAAGATCAGAATCCTGTAGAAGGTGCAAAGAACATACCATACCTGCGAACCCTCATTGCCAACTGAATAAGTGCGGATTGCATGGCTTGGGTATCATCGTACACTTAGACAACACCATCCTCATACTCAAGGACGAGAATTCTTTCTCCAGACAACAGATCCCCACCGCCGTTTCCCATATTCATCAGAGCTGTTTCCAGAACGTCATCGATAGTAAAGCTGAAGAGGAATGGTGTGATTGGGCAACCCTGTCTAACTCTTTTTAAAGACAAGGACAATTATCGACTAATTCTACGATGTCGGAACACTGTAATTGCCAGACATCTGTAAACAACGGAGTCAGTCCCTTAACCAGAAAATCGCCACAACCCTTAAAAAGAGTCGGAGGTAATCCATCTAGGCCCGGTGATTTATGGGGATTCAGGAGTTGAAGTTCTTTACAGACTTAATAATTACAATCTATTATCATACTATTTCCTTACATGATTTACAAAGAAGATTTTAAACACAGTCAACTATTCAAACTAAACCTTTAATGTCTCACTTAGTACTTAAATACTATGAAACTATCCGATTAAATTTAGACGAAGTACACTTTGATCAAAGCAAATTATTGGATAACATACCTAGATAGTATATCTATAATATAATAATTTATACATCAATACAAAAATCAGTTTATATTTTAGTAAGCGTAAACAAAAACAGAAACAGAAAAAAGATTGACCCTTCTCTGAAAAAAACAAACAGACAATTTTTATTAGAAAGGGGTGACTGGTATTTCCTGCATTTCTAGTGAAAAACACTGACCAGTAGAGTTCAACCAAGTTTGTTGAGATATCAACTCACTGATGAATGGTTACTCAACTTCATGGATCAGTTGAAGTTAGACATTAACACCGTTAGATAAAGGCTCAGTGGTCTAGTGGTCAAGCGCTCGCGCGCGAGACTGATAGATCCTGGGTTCGAGTCGTGGATGTGCACTGCTGAGGAGTCCCACAATAAAACGAAACGGTCGTCCAGTGTTTCCGGGTTTTTCATGGTAGTCTAGCTTCAATTGACTCATGATTTCAACTATATAAAAACAATTTTTATCCGATTTATTTTCCAGAAAAACAATTTTATTCTTATATCAAAGGTATATTGATTGTGAATGGGTTCAAGAGTGTTGCATTAAAAAAAAGAAAAAAAAAAGAGAACTAAGTAAATTTACATTGTGCAAAAAAAAGAGAGTAAATACAAAATATGATTGGAATGATCAATAGTTTGATGAATTACAAATTAAGAAAGTAATTTGGATGATTGATTGACTGATATAATCAGCTAATATCGTAGAGGCATAAAAATAATCTTATTTATATGCATTGAGCATTGAAGAATGAATACTATTATGCTCTGTCCTAACTGGTTAACAGCGACAGAAGCAACGAATGTTGTGTAAGATGTTAGTGATTTACAGTACAATATGAACATTTCAATTGAGGTAACAATACATATATATATATATATATATATATATATATATATATATATATATATATATATATATATATATATATATATATATATATATAAACAACTCTATTTAGGATTATTTAGAGTGGAATGCTTTAATAATTTGTATAATTGTAGCAATCAAACCACCGAAACAACTCAACAGACCAATTGATATAAAGATTATATGTTTAGTAAATACTGTTAACCAAAACCATGAGATTTGTTGACGATCAGACCATAAGAAAATTATTTCTAAAGTTGCAGGTAATATGAAAGCAAGTGTTGATCCAGCCAATGATCCAATCAATGATAATAATAGATCTAATCGAGGGATTAAAACAGCTGCTCCGTCTGGAAATAGAGGTAAATTTGAAGAAATTAGAAGTTTCACAATGAAATCAGATTATAGAAGATCAATTAAACATTTGGGTTGTCGATATTCAAACTGCAAACACTGTAAATGATCTAGCGATTTCAAAATCTTTTAGACGGAATAATAATTTACTGGAATAAAAATTACAGCACTCAATAAAGCTATTATTACTATTACCATTATTAGTACTACTACTACTACTGTTGAAAGCGTGAGTCAATTGTAGCTGGATGGTCGTTTCGTCCTATTATGGGACTACTCACCAGTGCGCATCCACGATCCCGTCTAGCGAGCGAGACTCGAACCCAGGACCTACCAGTCTCGAGCCAGAGCCCTTAACCGACAGACCACTAAGCTGGCATCCAATGGTGTTAATGTCTAACTTTAACTGATCCACCAAGTTGAGCAACCATTCACCAATTGTCTTCAATGAGTTCCTATCTAACGACAGACGTGGTTTGAACTCCACTGGTCACTGCTTCTCACTAGAGCTCCTGGATGTACTTTCCAGGTGGTCTAGCTTCAATTGACTCACGCTTTCAACTATGAAAAATACTAAATCTCCACAAAACCCCTTCTGATAACTACTACTACTATTATTTCTATATTATTATTATTATTATTATTATTATTATTATTATTATTATGAAATTCAAAGTGTTAGGAAGTGGTTCCAAACAAGAGATCAACATTTTGGAAGTATTGATGAGAAATGAGATAGAAAATTTTTCGATTATGGATTTTAATTGGTACCGCTAGGCAGTTTGAATAAATTCCATTTGAAGTTTGATTTAGTCATTGAAACAATCAGAATAAAACATTCAATCAATGTTCCGTTTTAATTTTAGGTTAGTTTAAAATGTTTCGTAATAAACGGTAGTATTTTGTTTTAATAGTAGTAGACTGGGTGTTGCATGACATTTCCGTAGTTCACTGAGGTAAAGCGTAGTAAATCACCAGAAGTGTCAACTGTTAACTTGTGTGATGTCAGTATGAATGAGCCCTTAATGCTGTGTAATATAGATGAATAACATGAAACACCTCAGTCATTCTGGATCATATTAAGTAAAATACCACATTCATTATGTGACAATACCTCTTTAATAGAAGCAAACAATGGTTAGAACATATTGTGATAAGTAAAATACGAGTAACAGTGACTTTCTAGCAGCTTCCTCGATCCCAGAATGCTCTCATGATTACGCCGAAAACAGAAGACGAAATGTGATAAGTATGAGAAGAGGCTTTAATTCCACGGTTAGTTTAGGTACATAGAACAAAGATACATATAGGTTTATGTACAACTCTAATATTTTAGAAGCAGCACTTCTGGGTAGCAGGGTCAACTTTACTAGCTAACTTGGGTTGTCGGTGGAAATAGGATCAATCCACCGCCCTGCTGTTACTGGATTACTTGGGATCCTAATATTTAGGCTCTTAAAATCTTGCAGACTGTTCGATGTGTTTGCTTATGTATAGAAATTGCATGAGCCTCGGCTTGTGTAGTTGTGCATGTAGGTATATAAAAGGACAAGCACCGGACTCGCAAAAAATATGTGAGCCGAAATGTCTTCCTATGTCTAATAAAATTAATGGCCAGGGCCAGCCGGTTGAAGACATAGCAAAAAGAAGTGGCAGCAAATACTAAGAAGAAAGGACCATTGACCCAAACCTGAGACTGTGTATGATGTTTATGTACAAGTAGTATGCATATAATGCGTAAGAGACGGTAAGTTGTAACAAATATGTTTGGAGGTAGCAGTGACCATCTACCACCACCCCAGGTGATCAAATATACTTATACGTATGACATGGGATGGATGGAAACTAATGTGTCACCGGTATGTATGTAACGTATACTTGTTCCTGGTGCAACGTCTGCATGCTAAAACCCAAGGGTAACGATTTCTCCAAGGCAATCACATCCACACAGTGGGTTTGTGAGCCGGAAAAAAGTTCAAGAAAAGGCACTTGGGTTTCACCAAATAGGGCTTGACCAACCTGAATCCTCAAGCATGCTAAAATTATCCACAAAATCGATAAGTATCTAGTGTGAATATGATAACGAATCTACCGTTTTTCTAATACTACGATAAGTTTCTACTGAACTCAGTGGACGACATAGTTTCAGTAAAGACTTTTCGGGAAATTCCTATAAGGCTTCCAACGCACAGCAAATTAATTAAAGTTGTAAAGGCTGAAAAGTGCCAAAAGCGACTAGACGGTCATACAGGGGTTCATATCAGAACAATAAATAACCGTACAGTAGAAGAGGTTTATCATCCAACAAAATAATGAACACAAGAACAAACATTACTAAATATTTAACAAACAACCGATTTGGAGATACGAGAAATATAGATCATTAACTCCTAAATGGAATTAATGATTAACTATCAGGATCAACTCTCATTCGATTCTACCAACTCTCCCTAAAAAACCATGCGGGAATCTTCTCGGGAAACGTTGGTAGAACAACAATGTTTTTGAAATGATTTTTATATTCTTCCATTTTCTTCAAAACCAAATTCCTATTCCGTCTATAAGACATCCCTCTATTATTTCTTGATGGTTTAGTAACTACGTATTCTTACATTCCATAGTCGTGATTTCCAGCATAATAGTTTACCAAAACTATGATATGGTAACCAGAAGTTTCAGTAAATTACCCAAAATAAGTTTATTATGTAACTACTTTTGATTCATACAGTTTGTGTTCGATTAAGTGATCTTATCACTTACTTTTACTTACTTACGCCTGTTACTCCCAATGGAGCATAGGCCGCCGACCAACATAAGTGATCTTATCAGGACGACCAAAAATAAACAAACATATTTCAGTTTAAACGTGTAACAACTAAACCACCACTTTACAGTCCGACATAAATCATACGATCATTATTTACGTGGTAAATTTTATCCATCACATCTGACATCTAGTTAGTATACATTATGATATCCGATATGCAGATGTGACGGCGAGGATCGGCAAAGCAAGAGCAGCATATTTACAACTGAAAAACATCTGGAACTCAAAACAATTGTCAACCAACACCAAGATTAGAATTTTCAATACAAATGTCAAGACAGTTCTATTGTATGGGGTGGAGACGTGGAGAACTACGAAAGACATCATCCAGAAAAAACTGGTGTTTATCAACAGTTGTCTACGCGAGATACTTCGGACCCGTTGGCCAGACACTATCAGCAACAACTTACTGTGGGAGACAACAAATCAGATTCCAGCGGAGGAAGAAATCAGGAAGAAGCGTTGGAATTGGATAGGGCACACTTTGAGGAAATCACTCAATTGCGTCACAAGACAAGTCCTCACATGGAATCCTTAAGGCCAAAGGAGAAGAGGAAGACCAAGGAACACATAACGCCGAGAAATGGAGACAGACATGAGAAGAATGAACAACAATTGGATAGAACTAGAAAGGTAGGCCCAGGACAGAGTGGGTTGGAGAATGCTGGTCGGCGGCCTATGCTCCATTGGGAGTAACAGGCGTAAGTAAGTAAGTATGATGTCCGATATTGTTAAGGTATCGTGAATCACAATGAAACAGTTGTTCGAAGTTCATTATTCAGATTAAGTCAATTTATGATGAAAATAAAGCGAACTTTTAACTTCATTACAAGCACCCCAACATAACTAATATCCTAATAATTGTATTTTTACCGCTTTTAATAAAATAACCGTCCAGTGCTTCCAGGTTTTTCCTGGTGGTCTAGCTTCAATTGACTCACGCTTTCAACTATGAAAACAACCTACCAATTCAACATGATTTTTATATTATGTGGTTCACCAAATGTTTTGTATAACTTGTATAGAACATTCATGTAGTAAGTTATGCCATTCTACCACTGGTAAATACTATCACTGCCTCTGATACACTGACATTTGTTTTAATAATTTCATTGCACTGTGCTGAGATATAATGTGATAACTTGAATCAATGCACAACATTTACCAGGTTCAAGGTTGCTTACGACTAACTAACTGTATGGCAAATGACATCCGAATAAAACAGTCAGTGAAACCAATGAAATTCGAGTTGTTTTTTTTTCTACGAATTAAATACTTCAAATTTTTCATAATTAGAATATTAACTTACATGAGAATATAACCATACCAATTCGCATTAATTTCAAATTAATATATCGTCGACGATCCGATGCGTCACGATGACATGTTAATTTCTCCATTAATCGACTGAATATTTGCGCTGGTACATAATATTGTAATAAATAACTGACAAACATTGCTATGATAAACAACGGTTTAACTGGAGCAAACCAACTATAGTATTAAAAAAAATAATGGAAGATATATTGAGAAACAGAACGGTGCATTAACACATCAATAGAATAGCAATATACATACCAAGAAAGATGAATAAAACTGCTGAAATCCAAAATTCAAGATAATTGAGGAAACTAAGATCATCAGGAAGCTTAAAGAATATCGTGATAAGCCAAGTTCGGACAGATCATGTACTGCTCCAACGTCAGACAGATCACTCACTGTTGTAAAGTTACATGGTGGAGAGAAGTGGAAAAGGTAGATAGGCCTATTCCGAGGTGAGTATACTATTTGTCCAGTTACTGTTGAGTCCATGTCCCCGTATAAGTAAGTGCAGACACATCTATATATACTCAGGATTTATGTCCAAATTGATCCGGTTCTGGCAGAGCAGCAACTCACGCAGTCTTCTTGTACTTATTGAGCATATATGACTGGATAATTGTCAGAAAGCCTCTACGCTTTTCTGTCACATAAATCGCAAATCAATTGAGATTGGAATTATATTACTGAACCATAATCCAGTGTGGGTTATGGTTAAGCGTTTTCAGAAGACCTAAACGTAATCCGTTCAATCCATAGCTGAGCATATATATATATATATAAACGTTATCTCATACTACAGTAAATTAAATATCACATTGAGTCTCCTACACTGTACGCCACCAAGTAATAGATATACATTACCAGATTGACTTGAAAGGACTATACCAATAGGAAATTCAATCGTGTACAACAGCAGCTAAGTTGTTAAGGTGTTAGATTGCCAGCCATTCGACCGCAGGTTCGAACCCTACTTTATCTACTTCACTATAGGCAACCGGGTAGTATCAACATCCCTCATACTTAAAGCGTAGCTCAAAGCTCAGCACATAAATCTGTAATCGGTGAGTCATTTCCCTTATGAAATTAATCAGGCATTCCGATTTCGTATGCGATTAAATTAAGTAATGCATAGATCGTGTTACTGATTTGTTTGTAGTGACTGTTATGTCAAGCACACATAGGGTTATTCTAGCTTTTGGATAAAACAATCTATTCATTATTCTCAAGCCATATTTTGGCCTTGTCACTTATTAACCCTGACTTAATTTTGAATACGCATATTTCATACACTCATCAAACCAGACAGATAATCAAAGAAACAAAGTGAAGGAAGCGAAACGAAACAAAACGAAGTGACACTCAGTGGATATGGCGAGTGAGACAACGCCTTTTGATCAGGCGTGGCTCAATATTTATATTCAGACAAAATTAAGTTACACACACATAATGAATAGGGCAAGCGATTAACACACACACGATCATATGAAAACAGTCAGGGTTAGTAAGCGAACGTGACAAGGTCAAAATATGGCTTGAGAAAAATGAATAAATTGGTCTATCCAGAAACTAGAATAACCCTATGTGTGCTTGACATAGTACGAGCCACTGCAAGTTGGTGAAGCAATGGAAAATATTTTGTGAACTGCACTCGGATAACCATTAGCTCGCACTTTAGAGCACTGCTCTATCTACACTTATTTCGCTAATCGTGAAGCAACACTAACGCGTAAAAACACTTATTTTATTTAAACACATAAATATTGGTACAAAGGGGCACCAGATACATATGCGCCACACAAATCTCATTTGATTTGTGTGAGGGTTGTGATACTACCCAGGTGCCAAACCAAAGCAGGTGGTTTTTTTAGGGGACCACACCCGTAGCTTTTGACCTGAAGGTCTGATCCACAAGACAGTGGAGCATCGTGAGGAGATGCAGTCCCATAGTAATCGGTGACCAACGATTGATTCATACGCCATTTGTCCCCTCAGGATACTGGAATCCATGTGCACCATTGGTTTGGAATCAGGGTTTTCCAACTCCTCTAGGTGGGCTTTCCGTGTCCACCAACCCGATTACAGCACCGGACATTCGCTTTTTCTCCTCTCAATTTCGTAAACAACACCCCCGCCACGAGAATGCAGTGAGTAGGACTTCCCCAACAGAGGCTATATATTCGCTGAACATGTGAGAGCATTTCGAGAAGGAGAGCGTACTCTCCCCATTCTCGGCCGTACCAAGGAATTTGGGGTCTAGTTAGAAGTTAGCAGTCCAGTCAATAGACATCTAAATAACGTACATTCTTTTCGCTGTATATTGCCAGCCACCACAATATCTCTGATTGTACTGAATGTAACCTTTACAGAGAAATGTTGTACACTTTTCAGAAACGCACCTGAATAGGTTATGCGATTAATAGCCATAATGATGTATTAAAACAAACAAAATTACATAACTTGTTGAAATATCTAGATGACAGGAACAGGTAGCTCAGATGTCTAAGCAGAGGCCTCCAATAGTTCACTGAATTATTTTACAAGATCATTTATTAATATAAACAAAAATTAAATCAAAGCTTCAATTGACTCATGATTTGAACTATGAAAACACTGAAATCTCCACAAAACCTCTTCTGATCTTTAATCATATGCTCACTAGTGACTGGCTTCAATGGATGTTTCCTTGACTTCTAGTGGAAAGCAGTCACCAGTGGAGTTTAACCAAGTCTGTTGTAGAGATATCAACTCACTGAAGACGATCGGTGAACGGTTGCTCAAAAACATCGCGGATTGGTTGAAGTTAGACATTAACACCGTTGGATGCCGGCAGGCTAAGCGGTCTATCGGTTAAGTGCTCTGGTGCGAGACTGGTAGGTCCTGGATTCGAATCTCGCGAGGCCGGATCGTGGATGCGTACTGCTGAGGAGTTCCATAATAGGACGAAACGACCGTCCAGTGCTTCCAGGTTTTCCCTGGTGGTCTAGCTTCAATTTACTCATGATTTCAACTATGAAAAATTATATAATTTATTTTATTACATAGAATTTCTCAAATAAATTATAAATTTATACTGTTTCTATTAATTTTAACTACATTTACTTATATACAAGTTGAATAAACTTTGGAATGTCGACAGATATGGATTAGTACATTATGAATGGTAAGTAGAACAATATTCTAATGGAAATCAGATTAAAAATTACTTCAAAAGAATTTACCGAAAAGTATTATGTAATATATTACATAATGTATGAAACGAATAATTAAAAACAAACAAATATACAAATTGAATATTATAAGTTCAGATCTACTAGTTGAATGAACTCGTTCAATCACTTTTGCAGTGATTATACGTATGAACGGGGTGCTTAATGATAATATTTGATTTTTATTACGACGTTTTTAACCAATAGTATTATAGTGAACGAACACTAAGCTGGGGAAGATCAATTTATTATTTGATGCACAATAACACAGTGGTTTAGTAAAATGTGGAAATCATAAATCAAATGCATCATTTGTACACCTTTGAATTGTCTTTTACAAGCTTTATTGTTCCTTCATTTCTATTATTATTTTGCTTGCTTTCAGTTTCCTTTTCTTCATTTCAATCTTCTCAACCTTCTGTTTGCAGAGAATTCACTTTTGACTGGAGTTACATATTCCTTATATCTGCAAACATAAGTAGCATACACCACAATACAAGTGTTTATGTAAACAGCAGTTACTTGGTATTATTTGCTTGTATCTTCGCATTGATGTTTAGGAGTGCAATTGATCAGTCTCTTGTTGGCAAATGTGCATCCTATACGAACTGCCTTGGTACTGCCTTAAGTCGCAAGCTTTATAAGCAAAGATGGATGGTGATTAACAATGGGAATCCAGGACGTGGGTTGCGTCCAATTTGGGGCTCGTCAGCTGGATGTACCTGCTACTAGTGTGGTGTTGTCTACTTATATCTATATAAGTAGTACATGGTGTGGGTCAGACATAGAATGTATTTTGGCAGAAGACCGATGACGAAAGAACTAAAATGAAGCGCAATCGTTTGGAAAATGCATGAGCAATGGAATAAGAGAAGAAACAGTGAAGATTGAAACAATTGGTTGTTAATTTGCAAATTGACTGTTCATTGTTTGGTTATCAGAATTTACCGAGATAGTCTGCAATGTTTGCTTAAATACATTCGATTGTCCCCAACTAGTGTTCTGTTCACTACACTAGGACTCAGTAGCTAAGTGAATAACGCGATGGAGTTTGAGACGAATGGCATTGGATTGGAGTTCCGGAGTGAACACCAACTCTGGGGTACGGGTACATCCAACTGAAGAGTCCCAAATAGGACGAAACGCGAGTCCTGGATTGCACTGTTAACCACCATCCATTTTTGCTGATAAGACTTTGAGCTACATTGTGATACTTACTTCTTCCTTCAATGTTCAAACTGAAATATTTGTGAAATGGGTCTGAATCTGAGACTTACTCTACGAGTTAGAAAACTGAATATTTTGATAAAATTCGACGCAATCATTGAAATATCGAACGAACAGGTAAAATAACGATTATCCAATAATATAAGAAGGATAAATGTTAGAACAAGATACAAATTATCAGATCTTGTTAAAATTTAGTGTAATATTTGTGTGATGATAGTCCTAATGTACGGAGGTGAAACGTGGAGAACTACCACAACCATTATCAAAAAGGTACAAGTATTCATAAACAGTTATCTACGCAAGATACTCAATATCCATTGGCCGGATACTACCAGCAACAGCCTTCTGTGGGAGAGGACAAACCAGCTCCCAAGTGAAGAGGAAATTAGGAAAAGATGTTGAAAAAGGATAGGACATACATTGAGGAAATCACCAAACTGCATCACGAGGCAAGCTCTAACTTGGAGTCCTGAAGGGAAATAGAAAAGAGGAGGGCCGATGAAATACAGTACGTCGGGAACTAGAAGCAGACATGAAAAGGATGAATAGCAGCTGGAAAGAACTGGAATGGATTTTCCGGGACAGAGTTGGATAGAGAGTGCTGGTGAGCGGCCTATGCTCCTCCATGAGGGTTGACAGGCTAAAGCAAGTAATTTGCATGATATTCGTTTAGCACAAACATTCAACATACATTTTGTATTCCCGCCATATTAGCTAAGCTTGGTATTTATTGACTAATCATTAAATATTAGTCAAAATTGTCTATAAATGAGCACGTATTTGATTTAATAAATGGTTATTAGCGTTCTTTATTTGAAGGGTGAACAAAATCCTCATTTGCCACCAATTTTTATCATCTTCGCTGTATTGTCTAAATTGCTGTATTTTACTGTCCCACGTAGCAGTTTTTAATTTATCCCAAGAAGAGAATAAGAGAGCACTTCATATCACAAAACCGCTAACCGAGTAATGTAAGTTTTATGTGAAACGACATATTACATACAATAGGAATGAAATATATGAGATCACCATCACCTTCAGTCAGTAAACAACTTAAACTTACTAAGGCACTTGAGGTATATTTAACGTAATACTTCCTTCAGATTCTTCACCAAATTTTAAAAATCCATAAAATCCAACAGCTACATTCATACAGATAACAATAATCATGCCAGTAGTTAAAACACCAAATGGTAAACCATATCTAGTAGGATCAATCATTTTACTTTGAAGAGGTAATACCTAAATTTGAGTAAAAATTAATAACATAACATTATGTGCAATAGCAAACAACACTACCTTTTTTATTAAAGACGGTAACAGTGGAATTCAACACATGTACATCGTGGACTATTTTCAGATGATGGGAGTGGATGGAAAGGTGGACAAGTGATTAGTTTGTGGCAGTTCACTGGTTTGAAAGAAGGCTATATGGAACTAAGATATGTCTATCTATTACAACTTCCCAGTTGGGGTCGTAAAAAAATTGCGTAACTTACTGGTTCGTTGCACCAGTGGAGAACCTGCAACAGTTTTCTTAATGAGAGAGGAACTTCCTGAAATGAATGTTCATTTACCTAAACTCTATACCCTATTATATATTACTGTTGTTTACTTAAATGCACTCCCTTTTTCCCTTAGATTTCTGCATAATTTCACCTTATTTCTGTAGCACATACATTTTTAGCGCTCATTTTAACCAGAATGAATATGCGATTATAGCAGCTCACATACAATTGAGTTTGTTTACATTCAATTTGGCTAAGCCCTTTTCTTAACTTATTTAACGGACAGTCATTCATACAATAACAACTTATCTATACTGCTGTACTTTTATTATGTACGCTTGAGCATTGCTTACTGCCTACGCATGTATTCATTCTAATAGCCTTACTATTAATCGCTTAATGGAATCAATGATTCATGCATTTCCATCTGTATATATATGTACATCTTAATCCTGTTTATTGCTTCGTACTGCGCTACACCGTACTGTACACGCTTACTCGCTCATTCGGCTCTCACGCTCACTCGCCTGCTTTACGGCAATGATCTTTCATGCTTGCTTAACGTGCCTGTAATACTGGATATCTGTGTGTGGTCCAATAATAAACGCAATCAACACTTCGTCTTCGCTTTCTGATTTATACACCGTCGGAACGTTGACGAGTAACGGTTATCAGGACGAACAATATACGAAGTTTAGGGATAATATCGAATATCGATCACCACACAATAAATAAAAACATAAAATAAATTATTGTTTAGGGGCTAGTGATATCATTCAGCTTCTGAAATAAAAGTGTAAACAGAACGAAGAACCGACTTGCTATTAATAAGTCGAAAGCCAAGTGTTACTGCTTAATAATCATCACTAACCTATCACTTACCACATCAATCAGGCACATACTTAGTGACCTAATGAATTATGTTGCCTGAAATGAGTATAGATTTGAATTAGTTTGAGGTCTAAAACAGAATTTAACTCGAATTTGATTGATATGCTTCCGACTTAAATTCCAGTAAATTTTTAATACATCATCAAATGACTGATCATTCTCTTTGAGAGTGCTTTTACCGACTATCTGAACGATAGTAATAATAACACTCTATACCAGTCCCAAAAAACTGATTTTTCCATTAACAACAATTAAACCTGTTAATGATTAAACACAACACTTCAATAAGGACCATTAAAAAGGTGTCTTATGTGAGAAACTATTACCAAAGTTGCAGTTACAAAATATGTGTTTCTTGCGCATAGTTTAAACAAAAACAAATGCTATATACTGAACAAAGTACAAACCATTTTAAATATTTTATATTTTGGCTAATAAAGGTGTATACAATATATATGTTTGTTCAATTTGAGACTCGTTAACTGGATGTATCTGCTAAATCTGTGTCCACAGAGAATAGAGCCCAGTACCCTTCGCTTCGAAAGTCAGAGTGTTATCCACTAATTAGTTAAGCTCATAGTTGAAAGCGTGAGTCAATTGAAGCTAGACCACCAGGGAAAACCTGGAAGTACTGAACGGCCGTCTCGTCCTATTATGGGACTCCTCATCAGTGCGCATCCACGATCCCGTACTCGCAAGATTCGAACACAGGACCTACCAGTCTCGCATCAAAGCACTTAACCGATAGACCACTGAGCCGGTATCCAATGGTGTTAATGTCTCACTTCAACCGATCCACCAAGTTGAACAACCATTCACCAATTGTCTTCAGTGAGTTGATATTTCATAACAGACGTGGTTTGAACTCCACTGGTCACTGCTTTTCACTAGAACTCCTGAATTTACCTCTCGAAGTCAGTCACTAGTGATCATACGATTATTATTATTATTATAAGCAGGGGTTTTGTGAAGATTTAGTATTTTCATAGTTAAGCTCAATCAACTAAATGGTATGTCTAGTCATCAACAGAATTTCACAGTAAGTTCCTCAATGAAAGAGTTTATATGCTAACAGGAAATTACCACATTCAAGTCTTCAGTATCAACAATGAAAAATACAAACCCATACAAATAATAAAACTATATGTCACTAATTAAATATACCTCTTAACTAACTACCTAAGTTAGGTAATGTATTATAACAACAACAAAAAATGATGTGGCAGCTGGAACAAAATGGTTATTCAATCTTTTTATAACCATTCAGAGAAACTGCATAACAATTTCGGAAATATGAATTTTGATGCTTTCTTTAATTAACATCATTAATACATGATTTCCTCTCTCTCTCTCTCTCTACATATATATATATATATATATATATATATATATATATATATATATAATATATTTTTTGGGGAGAACTAAAATGTATGAACGAACAAATAGGATTTAAGTACACGATTCATAGGATTTATAGCTTATGTTATTTTGCAATGAGAACCCAACTTCCAATTATAATATATCATACTGATATGTATCTGTTGTATCCCGAAGAGAATTGTGAACGGTAACTTTTGAAGACTATTTATGGACCAATGTAATATGTATATTTCCTATTGTATAATTTTTCATAGTAGAAAGCATGAGTCAATTGAAGCTAGACCACCATGGAAAACCTGGAAACACTGGACGGCCGTTTCGTCCTATTATGGGACTACTCAGCAGTGCGCATCCACGAACCCGCTCGCGCGAGCGAGACTCGAACCCAGGACCTACCAGTCTCAAGCCGAAGCCCTTAACCGATAGACTACTGAGCTGGCATCCAACGGTGTTAATGTCTAACCTCAACTGATCCACCAAGTTGAGCAACCATTCACCAATTTTCTTCAGTGAGTTCCTATCTCACAACAGACGTGGTTTTGAACTCCACTGGTCACTGCTTCTCACTAGACTATGAAAAATACTAAATCTCCACAAAACCCCTTCTGATATTGTATAATTGTTAAGTAATTAACCTAATCATATTCGTGTTCCTCTTATCACTAGCTTTATTTTGACCTTTGAACTTTTATAATATGATTCTTGAGTAATCATCAGTTTTATCAGAAGGGGTTTTGTGGAGATTTTAGTATTTTTATAGAGTTGAGATCATGAGTCAATTGAAGCTAGACTACCATGGAAAACCTGGAAGCACTGGACGGCCGTTTCGTCCTATTATGGGACTCCTCAGCAGTGCGCGTCCACGAACCCACTCTCGCGGGATTCGAACCCAGGACCTACCAGTTTCGAGCCGAAGCCCTTAACCGATAGACCACTGAGCTGGCATCCAACGGTGTTAATTTCTAACTTCAACTGATTCACGAAATTGAGCAACCATTCACCAATGTCATCAGTGAGTTCCTATCTCACAACAGACCTGGTTGAACTCCACCGGTTACTGCTTCTCACTAGAACTCCAGGAAATACCTGAAGGAGTCAGTCACTAGTGAGCACCTGATTATTATCAGAAGGGGTTTTGTGGAGATTTTAGTATTTTTATAGAGTTGAGATCATGAGTCAATTGAAGCTAGACTACCATGGAAAACCTGGAAGCACTGGAGTTAGAAGTTAGAAATTAACACCGTTGGATGCCAGCTCAGTGGTCTATCGGTTAAGGGCTTCGGCTCGAAACTGGTAGGTCCTGGGTTCGAATCCCGCGAGAGTGGGTTCGTGGACGCGCACTGCTGAGGAGTCCCATAATAGGACGAAACGGCCGTCCAGTGCTTCCAGGTTTCCATGGTAGTCTAGCTTCAATTGACTCATGATCTCAACTCTATAATAATAATCATCAGTTTATTGATTACTTCCCCCCTATTCACAGCCACATTTGGCTAAATATTGTACAAATGTTATTTTCTATTTTATGGTACGATGTAATCTGTTTGGTTGGTATATAAAAACCCAGTATGTTTGTGAATAATGATTCATATTTCAGAGGCTGTTATTGGTGTTCTGGACGCAACTGGCTGAGCTAGGCAGAAGTAGGACCGGTTAGCACTCTAGACTGCTCGTACGGTTTCGTGTGTCACTGTTCTAATCGATAATTCGCTGCTCCCGATTGGCGGTTTCATCAAGTCACCCATTAACTAGGCATCCACTCGGCCACAAGATATAACAGTATCCCTACTTTAACCCAAGTAAGTGTTTAAAGTTTCCTAAAACCATTTAGGAATCGTCTATAAATTTTAATCTTGCCAATATTTTGCGGGTTCGGAAATTTGCAGAGTATTTCATTAAAAAAAAAACAAGAAATAATCTCAGCAAACAATTGTTTCCGATAGCTTCATCATTATCAGTCTCTACAGTCTTATAAATCCATTGGTACTGTAATACAACGGCCAAATTAAGGCATTAATAAACAAGTGAATGAGACAGTGGTATATGTTAGACTAATAACATTTTGAACTGACCAAGGTCTGATAACTTTTAAAGTATGTCATTCGTAAATATGAAAGGTCTCTTACGAAAAGGATAGAAAAAACATTGTAAGGTATCGAATTTTAATCAATATACCACAATAAATCATACGAATGTTATGAATACCGCCAGAGATGTTTATGTCGGGTTAATTGAGCTAATAATAATAATAACGATAATAAATAATAATAAATAAACCGTTGGATACTGGTTCAGTGGTCTATCGGTTATGTGCTCTGGCGCGAGACTGGTAGGTCCTGGGTTCGAATCTCGCTCGCGAGGCGGGATCGTGGATGGGCACTGCTGAGGAGTCCAACGATAGGACGAAACGGCCGTCTAGTGCTTGCAGGTTTTCCGTGATGGTCTAGCTTCAATTGACTCACGCTTTCAACTATGAAAATATTAAATCTCCACAAAACCCCTTCTGATAATAATAATAATAATAATAATAATAATAAATAGTAATAAGTAAATAACAATAATAAATAGTAATAAGCAAATAATAATAATAATAAAGTTATGTGAAGATAACATGTCATAAGAGAAATTCTGTTAGGCAAAGTCTGATAAGAAATCTATATGAATTAAGGAAGATGAATACAAATGATGGATGGAGAAGGATAGAGATAAACATAAAAAGCGAATAGGGGTGGATATGAGTTGATAAAAATCTAGCTTATTTATGAGGTAAATTAATTATGGGTTACAAAAGCAGAGGCTGAATACACATCTCTTGGACACACAAGTCCGGTTTACTGAAGTTGATTTCGATGGCTTTATCTGTGTAGAGGAGGCGTAAACTGGAAATTGACTGTTCGGAACTAGACATAAACCAATTGACCAGTTTTCTGTCCCACATTTTCTTTCCCAAGTGGGAAAGGAAAGCGCGATAAATAGACTCAAAAAACTATTTGTCAAAACCTTAAAATAGGATAAAGGTCAACACAGTGTTTGAGAAAATCTTTTCGCCTAACACCTGATTTCGAAGGAGACATAACGGGTGACAGCTTAATAAACCGACTTGGAAGATTTACTGAAAAGATATTTGATGCTGGCATGTTGTACATTACCTTTTAAACCAAACTAGTACTTAAACAATACGTCAAGAATAAGATACTGATGATAAGCACTTTGATGTCTGGATGACAATTTAACAGTTCCAGTGAAGCTACCTAAAATATCCTCTCACGCCTGTAAAAATGCACCCATATGGTTGGGTTAATACTTATTTTTTATTTATTTAAACACATAAATATTTGTACAAGGAAGTACCAGATACATATGCGCCACACAAATCTCACTCGATTTGTGTGAGGGCTATGATACTGATACAGGTGGTTTTCTTAGGCGGCCACACCCGGAGCCTTTGACTCAAAGGTCTGATCCACAAGGCAGTGAAGCATCGTGAGGAGATGCAGTTCCATGGTAGCCGATGACCAACGATTGATTCATACGCTATTTGTTCTCTCGGGATACTGGAGCCCATGTATACCATTGGTTTGGAATCAGGGTTTTCCAACTCCCCTAGATGGACTTTCCGTGTCCACCAACCCGGTTAAAGCGCCAGACATTCGCTTTTCGTCCACTCAATTTCGTAAACAACACCCCCGCCACGAGAATGCAGTGAGTAGGACTTCCCCAACAGAGGCTATATACGCGTGACCATGTGAGAGCATTTCGAGAGGGAGAGCGGACTCACCCCACTCTCGGCCGTACCAGGGCATTTGGAGGCGGTTGAGTTAACAAGCCACTTATTTTTGCACATTTTGCGTATACATATCAGTAGTTGATGTAGAATGACCTGAACTGGACGATATTAAACGTTAATTAATCGATAACACTATATATATACACCCAATATACCATATCAAACAATTAAACTAATCTATAAAACGAATGTAAAAAACTTTAACTGAACTACGTAATTACACCATCTTAACAACCGTTAATCAGTTACAATTATAAAAAAAACTTGGGTTACTACTTGTTTTAACCATATAAATAAACCGAGAACACATGCAAACTTTTATAGGGAGTATACTTGTAAACAAGAAATACTCCACGGCCTACAAATTACAGATTCAAATAATATCTTAACAGACTTTGAAAAAAAAACATATAAGTCAAGTAAATTATCATCACATGACATTGTAATTTAATTGAGACATATATGCATCAATCAAAATGTTAAACACTACATTGTATTTTTTACAATTGATGTATAGTACAGTGTTGTATGGGTATATAAATTTTGTTAGATTTCAACTGTTTAAAAACAAAGAGAATAAACATAGTACTATCGATTAAAAATTGTAAAATAACGAATGATGTTATGAATAGTTAAGTAAATGACGCTCAATACATGGCTTGACAATAAGCTGGAACAAATGAGTTAATAAATGTATAAACTAACGCATAAAAGGTCTAACCACTTAACTTTAGTGGTTAACCAAGCCCAAGACCGGAAGATCGTGGATTCGATCCAAAGTGGGATCGCGCATGTACATACTAGGACGAAACAGCTGCCTAATAGTTTCTTAGACTAATCCATGATGTAAACTATGAAATGTAAGTCTTCGTCGGGGTTTAGATTATTGTTCAATAGCGAGGATAAGATGGAGTCCATGAAAGCTTTAATAGGTACGTAAAAATCAACAGAATTTCTCAAATATGTAATGATAGTCTATTGTATAATCTAGTGTAGAAATTAATGGAGTCTGTGAAGTTGGAACAGATGGTTTACACTGGATCACCAATCAATCAATCAGATAAGATCGAGATAGAGTCTGTCACACCAAACACCAAGAACAAACTGGATTACAGCACAAAATAAATCGAAAGCCTTTATCACTAGACGCATGATATTATATTATATCCGTCAAGTCCTGTGGCTAAAAGCTTGATTAGATAGATAAATAGATGGCATCACTCCAGGAATTCCATAACAACTTACGAATACTTGTTAAAAATATATGGCTTTTTGATTGCTACTTGTTTGTAGGAAAATAAGCTAAATTTATTTACCATGTACGAGTTTATATATTAAGGCTTCTAACCATGCTTACGATGGTGAGGTATATTGATACTACCTGGTTAATTAAGCAGTAGGCAGAGTGAGGTACAAAATCGCGGCACGCTGTTTGAAGTTCAAGCGCCACCAAGATATATGGATGGTTATAGATCAGAAACACTTATTTTTAGACCTAACATTCCCATATTAGGAAGGAAAGAATCGAGTGAAGTAATTTCTTTTCAATTTGTCCCTTCTTTATTTACCAAAAGACAAAATGGGAATTTTCACTACATTCCCATGTTACAAGACAAAAATAATCGTTTCTAAAAACCATTTTCTTGTGTCAATGTCTTGAATGGTAAAGCAATATTTATCTCATTGACAATTCCATTTCGATATGTTTCCATTATCAATTTACAGTTACAACACAAATATTACTGTAATACAACAATCCATATTGTAAAAACACTTAAAATACATTATAATAATCTAAAAAAGTTATACCATTTAACGTACAATTATGAACATCACATTTCTCGTCAAAATGAAAAAAAGTAGTCCGTAGAAGTTACTTATGTGAAAAAAAAAACATTTTTTGTTGATATAGAGAGACAATTGAACGTCATTTTTTCCTTCCCAAGTAATTTAATAATGTATTACAAGTCTCATATGCTTAGCCTTCAGCCACGCTGGTTACTTGAAAGCTAGTGTTGCTATTCAGTTGTGTTTAAACAACAAGATGTAACATGAGGTTCGAAGTTGCGGCCTTTCGATTGAATACTAAATCCTCTAACTATTTAAGTCATCAAGTCAATAACTCAATATCTTTTACGACCAAATGTTTCTGTTCAAAATAGCTTTCATACACTTTAAAATCACCAGTAAGACCAAAATTCACAGACATATGTATACACACGGAGGTAAAACTTAAGTATACAATGTTATTAAAGAAATATAACTTTTACTTACCAGACTAATTCCTTCAAATGAAAACATGACAATACTAAATGCAATTAGTAGACCATTGAAATTGGTGATAGCTGGAAATTCATATATTGAATGCAATCCAGATGAGAATAAATAGACGAATATTAATATCATACCAATTGCAGTGCATACATTAGCCAAACCGGATAAATAGGTAACTACCCGCATACTACTTTTAAAATTCATTAGAATTAATATTAGACAAACAATAAACCCCACTAGATACACATTGAGAGTTAGATATGGAAAGAAGGACACTAAAAACTGCAGAAAAGATAAGATGGGAAAAAAGATATTACTATAACATATGGCACATCCTATTTATTTAAGATAATATATAACACACTACCGCTCTTTAATAGGAAACCATCATAAACTGATATCTAAGGAACCAGGAGTATTTACGTAAACTGCAAATTATTTACAGGTTTACGTACTCTGCTTTAAGTCGTACTTCACGTGAAGGGGCTAATGATACTGATTAGCTGAACAAACCGAAGTAGGTGAGAAAGCTTTCGAACATGTGACGCATTGGTTGGAAGATTAGTGTGTTAACCACTAAGTCACGAACTCATTTACTATAAACTCAACAGATAGTTTGTAAAGACAATATGAGTTCGGAGGAAATAAAACACAAAGAAACAGACACACGAGAGATTAATAAGTTATTCATCCAGTGGATAGAAAGGATGCATCTTGTGACTGATAGCGTACCAAGAAATATCATCGATGTTTGACCGTGTTTATGCGGCTGCTTAATTTCATTAAGAATAATGAATTCGGGATTATAAGTTGAATACTTAATTAAATATTTATTTTGGAGTAATATTTATTGCTTCACTATTAATCATTAGGCTATTCTCGGGTTGTATTATACAACCATTTTATATTATTGGTATATTTAAATGCTACGTAGTATCTGACACTTGTAGAACATCGGTAAACAAACAAGGTAGCATATTCAAAGTGTTCAAATGTTTTGTATCGACCCATAGTTTTAGCTTTATGTACTTACTTCACGGTTGTATAACTTATGAACCAGGTCCGTATGTGAACGTATTCGTCTCCACAAAAAATATACAATTCTATTTAGCCTACATTTTAATTTTACCACATAAAAGAATGACTAATGACTGAAATATGTTCTGCTTAGATTACATTTTAGATCCAGTCATGTACTCAGTAGATAATATTCTTACCTAAAATATTTGGTGGACGAAATTCAACCACAACTTAGACCATAAAGTGGGGTCAAGTTTACAAACCAGAAATGATAAATGATAGCATATTAATTAGGGAAATTGTTTCTTGGGGTCAAAAGCATGTCAGACAGATCAGTTGGAGAGCGATCGGACAAAATTGGATAACTCTAAATTGCGGATGAGGTCTTATGATCAAATATACGGGGCGACGTATCAGCACGAGCTTTTCACGAACGAATGGTACTTAGGACGCTTCCTTTGCACAAATAAGAATGATTAGAAATGTTAGATTTTCGGAGCGGAAAACCCACGTTCTTCAAGGATCACTAGTAATGAAGATAATGACTAGTAATGAAGAACTGACACTGAAAAATAGGAGATACACGGTTCTCTAAAAACGGATCTGATGAAATTTAAGCGATCTTAGCTACAATGTTGGATGGATCGTAAACACTAACCACTTTTCAGGTTGTGAAGCGAGTGGGAGAAATGTATTTGCGGCAGTTTCATCTATAAAGCATTGGTATTTATTTCATTTAATGTTTTGTACTCTTTCTATATACCGCCTCATCCCTTTATCACTATTTCATGATGCCCAATATTTGAATCTATTGTTAACAATCGGAATTGACAAAATTCAATGCTTTGTTTTTGAGGACCCTAATCTAAAATAATGTTAGAACGTTTGGTGTTTAGACAATATAATAAATCAACAACCTTCATTTAGGGTACAAGTATAGCTGTTAACTTAGTGTAAGGAACGTGATAGTGTTTGTGGCCTCCTTTACTTAAGTATAGGATTGAATTTGAAACCAAAATTGGATAGTATTAATTGAAGACAGGACTTATTAAAATAACTCGAGATTAGTAGCGACCCTCGTCAATAAAGTAAAGGCCAAAGATGCAACTACATATCAACCTATCATTATCGGATTAGACATTCCAGTGAACTGTTCTCTGAATTGACTAGGTTAAATGATCTGGGTCGATGCTGATCACATCGTACACTTTCATTCTATTTTCTAATCCTGACTAACGTAGCACACTTTAAATTATGGATTGATTTCCCATACGAAAATTAACTAACTTGGAGTCAGCAAACGACTAAGGTCTGTTCAATAAGGACGTTGATATGAATAATTATATTTTGAAGTCTGCAGTATATCCGTTACTTCATATTGAGAGACATGACTTTAGTCTACATTTGCGCTTCCCTAACTTACTATCATTGTTCATATGTGAACTGTGGCTAATGACTAACGTATATTTGTTAGGATTTGCTTTACTTTCGTTAATATAAGGTACATATCAGTTCACAGTTGAATGATAAGACTGAAGTTGATATACAAAACACATTTAATAAACCTACATATCGAATATTTTCCGTAATAAATAGGGTGTACACACAACAAGTCCCAACTTGTGTCAAAATTAAAAATCCATTGACCGTATGTCTAAAATGAATCGAGTATGACATAACTAATGGTTAGAAACATACTTTAACTTTCCCTTGAACTTTGTTAATCTTTCTGGACCATATTTGAGCACTAAAAATGCAGTCTCCGCATAATCCATCTTCGATCTATCCCAATTATGTCTGTAATATAATTTCAAAATAAACAAGTGTGATTCCTGACCACATACCTTTGCTGAACTGCATTCGCAGTTCTCAAAAGAACATGCATTAAGTAAGTTGACAATATCCCGGATGCTATGATCATAGTAAACCCAGTCTTGAAAATAAGAAAAATAAAAATAGAAATTTACCCACAGACCAGCATATCTTATAACAACCGGCATAGAAAGTATCCCAGTGCCAATATTACCCTTGATTAAACTCATAAGTGCCTGGTAGTCACTAAAGAAAGATCAGTGTAATGTGAGTTATTATTCAAGATCACTTTATTTTCTTTCCCATTGTATGGGGATCTCGTGGCTGATTAGCATGGTCGTCATTTTGAAATGTAGTGGACTGAATATCTCCGTTGGTACTCGATTCTTGATCAGCGGTCTTACAATTAGCAGTCATTTTCATGTAGCCTGAATACCTGAAATTAGCAAGTAACGTACGATCAGTAAAACTTTAAACTAACAGTAAAAATAATATCGCTTTGTGCAGGTAACTAATGTTACCCGTCCATACAGGTAACATTGTTACCTGTACAAATTCGCTAAAAGCAAAATATGCTGCTTATATCAGTAGTTAGGGTAATCAAACTGTTGTTTTAAGTTTCCCTACCAGTAGACTTTTCATAATAGCGTATAAAACTACTTATCTAGTGGCATATCTAGTCAAGTCAGTTGTAAGGATAAGACATGTGTTTTTATGCACTGTCCTGTTGGGTTTACAAAACTAGCTGCACCTAAGGATACCTGTAGCATCCCTAACCAAGGGCGCTGTATCTATCACTACACCACACTGCGTTTTGGTTGCTTCCATATATGAGATCATTGCCAAAATTTTGGCAGTTTTGACCATTGATAGTCAAAACGTTTCGAGCTATCATGTGAATGGTGCCTAATTATCTAGACCATTGATATTATCAGCATTGAAATTATAATTGAGATGCTAACTAGTTAAACAGCGTGTGAGAGCAGATGGATGAGATTATTTATTATAATTTATAACTTAAGTCCAGATCCTTCCAACTTGTAGCATACAAACAAATGAAAACCTACTTTAGTATTATCGCTTAGTAATTTCAAAACGACTATAAATATTATCAAACAGTCAGTATCTGATATCCATCCCGTAACCAACTTTGCGTCATATGCGCCGCAACCTGACCTTCAACTGACCTTGGGGACGTATTACGCCTTGCGATTATGAATCATACGACATAAAAATAATATTGGTATTTTAACTTCTTTTAAGCCGGATACTGGTAGATAAGATAGCTTTCGTGATTATTTTGATCAAGATTGTAGTGAAGTTGACTCCACACAATGAAAGTTACCGCAGGTAGTTATTCGACGGGAAGGAATTTTTCCTCTATCGTTAAAGCCGATTAATCACAAGTCGAACATGCTCATTGCAATCTCGAATTTGTGCTAAGTAGCCTATAGCATCAAAGCCATAACTTTTTTCCAAGATAACTTTCCATACGTATTCAGGATCACGGTACTTGCCTTACCAGGTATTTGTGTGAACATCAAGCCATTGTAGTTGTATATAAATCTACGAAATCAACAGCTCTGTAAGTGTTCGACATTGAATGCTGAACACATTAGTTTTGGTGGACTGATTTCGCTGAAGGCGCTTGGTCATGCATCCGTACCAGATCACGTTTCAGAACGGAGTGAGAAACATCTCCTACGATCATTAGCCAGATTGGATCAGTCATTTCTTGATATATTGATAACCTCCTCGCTTCGGACATTTGATTTTACTGAGTGGGTGAGATTCGATTATAGAAGGTGTTATTGGTAAGGTGTTATCAAACTACAATACTGATAGTCTCTTCATTATTATCACTGTAGATTTAGTGAAATGTCACTGTGCCATAGCCAAATAATCCGGCAGTTGGGTCACTGAATGTCGAACGGACCACTGATTCTCATCAAGGCCATTAACTACACGCCATGGACTGGCCCATGTGTCCGTGGTCCTTGACCTTGACGAGGACTGATGAGCCGCTCGACATTCGGTGGCCCGACCGCCAGCTGATTTGGCCATGGCCCAGTGACATTTCAGTGACTCTATAATACTCCTACACTTACCAGTGGTCTATATCTTAGCAGATATATTTACATAGGAGTATTCACATTCCGTTAATATTTGTTAAAGAACAACGATAGCCGATTACAATTGTAAATGATTGGTTATTTTTGTCGATTGAACTAATTAGTTGAATTTAAATACTGGTCATTATTGATATAAAGCAGAGAATTTTCACGACGATTGATGAACTTAAGAGGTGAAGAAAATTTAAAGACCAAGTATAGAATGTATTCATAGAGATTATAATAATAGATTGTGCTATCCGAAGTCTTGCTCACCAGTGTAGATTACCAACATAGATGACTTATCTCTAATGGTTATGGGCCTACTCCAGTTATACAGCAATGGTATGACCAACAGCTAACGTCAAAGTCTCGCCTCATGGTTAGTACTGAACGTGGATTACATCTTCGCCGAACCAAGGTACTATGATTGATTTGAAGGCAGTACAACTCAGAGGACTTCATCACAGAAATGTGTTGGCGAAAGTAGGTACAAGGGAGGAGTTGAGACCACAATCACACGAGCCAGTCCACGATGTGGAATAAATGGATGCGTGTTGGTCGTCCTTGACCTTGACGGGCCTCGATGAACTGTTCGACACTCAGTGACCCAACTACCAGATGATTTTGCTTTCTCCACATCAATATGCTTGTTAACTCTCGATTGTCTTAAATAGCATTCTTGTCTCTTGGGTCAAAAGCAGTCCAAGGCCGACTCTAACACTACGAAAATATCAATACGACGCCGGCTGACTTCCTACCATGTTTGTTTTTTTGTCGTCGAGTAAAATATTATTATTATTATTTCAGTTGAATTAGTGATCAAACTGGACATTTTGATACAGACTGTTGAAGGTTTTTAGGTTCGTGCCTGTATGTGGGTGATTTATATTTCATCTTTGCATGCGGCACTGCGAGGCTGGCTTGTAGTCTGATGAGAATTGTGGTTTGGTTCTTAAGGAAGCCCTGAACAATTTGAAAGTGTTGTAGTGTATTCTAAGTCTTAACTAATATGCAATGAGCCTTGCTCAAAAATTGTGGGGAACACTGTGAAATCGCATGTTTATGGTTTGTTCATAACTCGTATATTATAGACACATACGTATTGACACGGAATCGGGTTTTTACCCTAAATCTTCACCCGTTTCGATTTCATCCGAAAGTTAAACGTTGGTAGATTATTTCCAAAATGTCCAGTACCGAAAGATTATTCCATTCCCTTCCCTGCTCGTAATTAATAATATTTAACTGCTGACGGATATCTCACCCCATTTTCAAAGGCACGATCATGTAATGATAAAGTGGTGTTACAAATGAGATACTTACCAAGTATGGATGTCGAAAGTTTAAAACCATTCAAAAATGAGCTGTAAAACCTTTAACATCTAATTGGACCACCCTGAAGGATTTTGATGAACATGGAAAACTAGTGGTTGTTTAGTAAGCACAGGTTGAAGCGATTCCGCGCTAAACTGTTTTTAAACATTATATACGTTTCTACTAGACAACCATAAACAGTTCTAACCATTATAAGTATCATAAGTTTTGACGGAACTGTTATATCAATAAGTAAGTTATCTGAGGGAAAAAATCATCTGAATAATAATTGACGCTGATGGCCTTTTCTGAATATATACATGATTGGGTTACATTAATTAGCGACATATTCTTCATGAGTAAAACGATACCTTTTCTATTCGAACATGATAACTGAACTATGTGGTTAGTGAATACTAATTTATGATGTGCCTGTCACCCAGTTAAGGAATGATCTTCTGCATACAGAATCTGCAACCAATGACCAAGTTATAAGTAGAAATCTAATGCATATGGATCATTATTGTCTAAATTCAGCGTTTCAGTAGCATCATATCGTGTGTAAACCGTGAATTTCTGTCAGTGTTACAAACGTCGTAACTGACTTTTTTTCAAGTTTCGTATTACTAATTGAGGCTGTTGAATCGACTTATTTAATGTCAGCAATTTGATTTGCAAACGATTTGGTCAGATTGTAAGAGGGTTGGAGAAGGAAGGGCATTGTTTGCAACAAGCAAGACGCTTGTAGCTACACTCTGTTAGCTTCTATCCCATTAACTTATTGAATTTGACACTGATAATGAAGTTTAATCGTTTGTTTCTTAATTGACTTGCTGTTATTCAGAATTTCATTGATTAAGCTGAAAGCTATCCACATGTTTTCTGATATGCAACTTATGGTTTTTGAAAACTGAGTGACAGGCTGAAACCTTTCTATTCCAGTGAGCAACTTAATAAATTTAGGCATGTGGAAAATTATATGAAAGAACAATTTACCAGTTGACGATAACTGTATTTGATATTGACTACCTATATGTTTATGTAATGTATTATTTATATTATAGCAAGTATGCGCAATCTGTAAAGCTCTTTGTAAAATTATACTACAACCGAAGAATGACTAACTTCTCAGATCCTGTGAAAGCTTGGTGATAGTTCGCATTGTATCATAAATCTTGCTAGTATTGGCCCGTATATACTGTCACATTGAAAAAACATAAATACAACACCATATTTCGGCGGAAATTTAAAACTGAGGTTGTACTTATGAGTTCTCACAGAGGAATGGGTGCTTATGAAACAAACACAAGGTTATTTTTATTTGACACAATTACCCGTTAGGGTTATCGGTATGCCTTCCCATGAAACTACGATGTATCGAAAACATAAATTGGACGAAAGTTCGTTGTACTTCATTACTACTGGTAGAGGAAAATTAATATATGATGAACAAAAATTATAAGTTATATGCATAATGAACTTAAGAATCCCTCGAGTGGGATCATGAATGCGCACTGCTGAGGAGTCCCACGATAGGATGAAGCGGCCGTCCAGTGCCTCCAGGTTTTCAATCGTGGTGTAACATCAATCGATCCATGATCAAAAACATATTAATCTTCACAACTCCATATTCAAAAAGAACTTCTTGTAGCAAGCAGTTCCCATCGCTTCTGCACATTTGCTTATATTCTGAGACACGTTTTCTATAGTAAAGCAGACTACACAAAAGTACGAATTGGAAAACTGAAGCCATACCTCGTTAACAACGGTTCCGAAGCAAAAAGTGCCGACTTTTCTCTTTACTAGCATCACAAAGTGCTCACCCTATTTCACAGCAATCTGTTGCTTGTAATTCTTTTGCTTCCTTGGATATGCACGTGCCGTTTTCTTCGTCTGGGGAATGAAATTGTTGTGTTATTTTGAAACAACCTGAAGTATACCTAAACCTTCGTAGTATTCACATCAGCAGCTGAGGCCTGCTTACCAGTTCGACCCTTAATGCTTTCTGCCACTTCATCGTCACCGGCAAAAGTTTTCTTCATCTCTTGGGGATAATTTTCTGGTCCATGAATCACAAACTATCCGTGAGCTACTATAAGGATAAATTTAAAGCATGTGGAATGATATACGACATATTATTCACCGTCAAAAGATACACGGAACACTGATTGTCAGTTCAGAAACTCGGACCTTAAACGTCACATGTCAGTTTAAGTCCTCACAATTTTTGACTCACTGTTAGAACTTGTGTTTCACGCTCTTGACCAAATCTGCACTACAGGACTAAAAACATGTATTTAAACCTCACGTCCTTCAGCAACTTACTTTCGACATGAATGTATTGGTTATGGATAGTCTGATAAGGGATGAACGAAACATTTTCCTATGTTTCGTGACTCATTTAGTGCACTATCGCATTCAGTTCATCTTCCAAAACACCTGTCTAGGATTATACACTGAGACTGAAACATCTCTTGGACATGAAGTTCTTCTGAAAATCAGTCATTCGTTGAAAAAATGCCTTAATAACTAAAGAAAGTATTGCTTACCTTCAAAGTGAATGTTAAAAACCTACCTGTCATTTGGTATTTCATCATAATCCATGCGTAAGACAGCAATTAAAGCAAACGTTGCATGTCTAGAACTGTTAGATCATTCTCAACACTCTGTTTTCTGTACCTTATCAATTTATAAGCAAAGACAGTGAGGTTCAGTGGGGCATTAAAATATCCCAGATCAAGTTACGAAGCAACAACTGAGCCAATGTGTACACTACAAAACAGAGAATCAATTTTTTCGCAATAATTTTGCAAGTTTACTGCAGCAAAAACATTACATATTTATGAGAATACTTAAAATTCATACAATTCAATGAACATATAACAAATCGACAGCAACTAAAATACAGAATGGCCAACTAATGCCAGGTCGTTGATATGTAACAGTGGGCGACTTTGAGTGAGACTATCCTTTTAACCGCCTCAAAAACGACAATAATAACTACAAAAGGTATGTTTGTAAAGAACACGTCTTGGCTAAACATAGCATAATGTATTTAGTGTTATTGGGAACAAGTTATACAGAATGACCAATTCTGCGAGGCTGGGCCATGC